AATCAAATACACAAAGGGAACACACGGGGAACTCGCTCTCTTTATTTTCTGGAAAACTGATCAGTGCTGGTCTTAACCTTGCAGGATAACTCGGCCCCCTATGGCGCGCGGTACGTGGGCTCCATGGTGGCCGATGTTCACCGCACTCTGGTCTATGGCGGGATCTTTCTGTACCCCGCTAACAAGAAGAGACCCAATGGAAAGGTAAGCACCTGCCCTAGGGGGTGAGTGAGAAGCAGTAGATTGCATTTTCAGCCCGAGCGACTTGATTTAGGGAGAAAGAAAGGTTACAGTAGCTGTTATGCCCTATAGTAAGTTGCTAAGGGTGTCTGTGGCATATTCTTTTCTACACTAAAGGTAAAGCGAGGTGATACCAAGTAAACATAAAAATGGTCTCTTGAGAGTCCTTCCAATGCTGCAGAAAAAGAGAATTAATGGCCAGGAGGGGGACTAAAAGTCCATAGAACTTCCAGCGGGTACGTGGTTTGGCTTGGGCAACATGAATTCCATTCATAAAGTGAAACGAAACCGCCCAGTCTCATGTCTAAGGCAGCAAATCAAATACGTATTCCAAATAGGAGTCGCCTTTGGTTGCATTCAAAAGGCATAGAGTAGAAATAACTAATGAGCTGACACTTACCACTTGGAAAATGATACCTTTTAGGGAAGGAAGGTCTCTGGGAAAACCTAGAGCTTTCAGGTGAGCTGTTAGCATTGACCACACCGGCCAATGCCCGCGATGCTCCCAGCAAGCCGCGGTGGGCTGTGCTTTCTCACGCTGGCTAAGGGGCGCCCACTGTCCTTCCACCTGGGTGGCAGTGTGCTTCCTCCCCGAGTATTGTGTCTGCTTTATGTTCTCCAATGGACAGATTGCCTTTTTTTTGTTTCAAATGTGAGAGAAAAACAGGAACAATAATACCCTTAAGATAGAAATCTATATATTTTGGTTATATTCAGATTTCTGTTTGCTGCATCTGGCGTCTGGGTCGCTGAAGACATTCTTATTTACTTAGCACACTGCTTCTGCCGCAGACATCTCCGGCATCCCCGCCTATGTGATTAGCCTGCTTTACAGCACTTTTCTCTAATGCCTCAAGAAATTGTTCCTGAACACAGTTATTGAGGCTTCTCTTTTTTTTCCAGTTTTTCAAATTTGGCCGTGACACCTACATGGAAAGAGAGTCAGGAAACACCTGCAAAAAGCTGTCGCTCAATAGGCAGACTGCATGAAAATGCATATGATAAAAAGTTAATATTTAAACGTAAATGCCAGGATGTATAACGTACTAAATTCCAACCCTCAAGCCTTAGGAGAGTTGTAAAAGAAATGCACACAGAGTTGCAAACAATATTACACTGTTTGGAGGAGCCAGTCTGCTTTCCAGATGTCTGCAGCCAGACACTGCCGTGGATTTTTCTAATGCTTGTAGAACAGGCAAAGCTCCATGCAAAACACACACCGAGTCGCTCGTTAAGTCCAGTTTCCACGCTGTAAGGGAAGGGAGTCATCAGTTCTGCCAAAATGTCATTCTGTGCTGAATCCAGGTGGTCTGTCTCGCATTTGCATCAGGTAATCTATTGCTGGCTCTGACTTGACGACTGGTTCAATTTAACCAAATGGTTAACTGTCTTGTCTCACATGCAACCTGGGGTGGGAGGGAACTTTTACAACCCCAGGAGGAGAAAGAGAATATCAGTTACTCCCACCGGCTCTGCACTGTTTTGCTATAGAACAAGTGCCCTCTCTGTGTAATACCGTCTGGTATGAGGACGCTGCTGTCGGTCTTGCTTTCCAGCTGAGACTCCTGTATGAATGCAACCCCATGGCCTTCCTCATGGAGAAGGCGGGGAGCGAGGGGGCGGGGAAGGCGGGATTGGCTACCATGGGGAAGGAGGCTGTACTGGACATCGTTCCCACTGACATCCACCAGAGTGCGCCGGTCATCCTGGGATCTCCTGAGGACATGAGGGAGTTCCTGGAGATTTACAAGAAGCACTCTGCCAAGTGAGGGGCGGGCCTCGCCCACTCCCAGCAGGATTGCCTTTCATCTGGACCTTTCATCTCACAGGGCGCTCCCTGGTGCGGCTGTGCCTCCTGCATTGGTAGACAGCAGACATAAAAAGTGTGGCTACTTTCATCATCAAATGCTGTGTAATGCCTGGCGCTACCTAAGCAAAATGTTATCTCGATGATGTCAGTGGTGGGCGAGATGTATGTTGAGTGGATGTAGGAGAAATAAACATATTTTCCCTTTTGCAAAAAAAGGTCTTCATTGCTTTGTGCCAAAGGATAATGATGGTGATAATAACAGCTAATGTGTGGCCAGGTGCCGTGGCTCACGCCTGTAATCCTAGTACTCTGGGAGGCCGAGGTGGGAGGATCACTTGAGATCAGGAGTTCGAGACCAGCCTGAGCAAAAGAGAGACCCCACCTCTATTAAAAACAGAAAAAAATCAGTCGGGCGTTGTGCGTGCCCATAGTCCCAGCTACTCGGGAGGCTGAGGCAGGAGGATCGCTTGCGCCCAGGAGTTTGAGGCTGCTGTGAGCTAGGCTGACGCCAGGGCACTCTAGCCCAGGCAACAGAGCGAGACTCTGTCTCAAAAAACAAACAAAAATCCCCCAGCTACCGTGTATAATATTAGGTAATTCATTTCATCTTCCCAATAATTGTATGGATCAGACGCCATGGATAATCCATTTTGTAGATGACGAAATGGAGGAAGGACTGAGAGGTTCAGTGCTGTGCTCAAGGTCTCCAGCCAGCGAGCGGCAGAGCTGGGGTATGAACCCGGGCAACGCGGCCACTGAAGCCTGAGCTAATGTATTGCTTCTCCTGCATGTGGTTCCACCCGGGTCTGGCTGCGCACAGCTAACCTGCCCTCCTAGCAACGGGACAGCGAGTAGCTCAGTGACGGCACCTGAGCATGACTCGTGGCCTCCCATACGTGGGTGTGGCTATCCGAGTCACTAATGAAGGTTTACACTGGTACTCAATGGTGATTTTTCTGCACAAGCACAGCACTTTAGTGAACTCACAAAGCCTAATAATTCTTCAGATCTAGTTACCATAAGGACAAGGATTTATCATAAGAACAGGATTTAAGGAAATATAGTTTGTTTCAAGCAAGCATGTTTCTCACTAAGCTCTGTCTATAAACAGTTTCTCCCTCAGCTAACCCCGGTTCTTTGTGGACCAGACTCCAAGATCATGGCAACTTCTATATCAGGTGTTAATAGCAAATGGGGCCTTTTTTGAGCTCTGGATTTTAAAATGTATCTATCCATATATTTCTACTCGGTATCTGAAAACAGGTGTCTGTGTAAATCCTGCTTCTTTCTCTCCAAACACTCCCGTTCATTCCATGTTTTTCCAACAGGAGACAGTTTGACCTTGAGCATTGGATCCGCTCCTGTCCACCGACCAGACCCAAAGCCAGTGTCTCCCCCACTCCAGCTGTGGCAGGTCCTGTCAGGAAAGTCCCCACCCACAACACACTTTGATTTTTAACCTTCTTGTAACTCAGTTGGCCTTTGGTTCTGAAAGCATTAAGGGAGACATGACTTTGGGTCTGGGAGCCTTTTCCCGTCACTGAGATGACTGTGGAGAAACACTACTGCCCACCCGGTGCTGCGAGGAAACCAGGCAAAATGACAAAAAGATCCCGTTCTTCTGCGTTTGTCTGTGTGTTCTGTGTGGCGTCTTTGCATCGAGCTGTCGGGCCATTCAAGGCAGCGGTTTCAACTGCCACTTGTTTGCAATCTATGGCTGACGTGTCTAAGCCTTTCTCTTTCTCCGAGAAAGACAGACACACAGACCCACAGAACAGCAGCGCGAACGGCGGTTCTCCTCGGATGGTCCTTAGCATCTCGCCTGGACTTGACCTTGGGGTGTCCTGGCTGCCTCCCTCGGACAGGTGAGGGAGGATGGGGGGATCGCATCCCCCGAGTGTCACGTAGAGACGCGGCAGGAACGTGGGCTCTACATTGTCCCACTGCTCCTGAGAGGGGAGACCGCTCCTGCTTTGGATCAAAACACATAATGTCGCCTTTGCAGAGGGGAGCAGCCTCCTCTCGCCCAGCCAGTGTCTGGCTGCAGGGGATTTTGCTAGTCCCTGCGTGTCAGTATCGGCAGGATTTGTGAAGAGGCCCCGCGCCGCCCCTCCCCACCCACAGGTCTGCTTTTTGCCCTTAGAGGCTCCGTAGCCAACCCCTCACCTTCCCAGTTCAGAACACGCTCAGCCTGAAACCCCAGTTCTAAGTATTCTGAAGCAGATCAGCAGGGGAGTTTCTCCACAGGTGCCCTTGCCACGTGGTGTCCTTTGCCAAAAGCTAGGGAAGCACCTCTGCAGTTTGACCCGAAGTGCCTGTCGGTCCTGGCTTTGCCACCACGGACAGGCTGGGCACAGCTTATGCCCCTGAGCATGGGAGGGAAGACCCCGTGACCAGGATGGAGGCAGAAGTTCCACTCAAGCACCGTTGGGGTCCAAAGTCCCCAGAGTGACTGTGTCCTGGTCCTCACCTTCAGAATTGGGAATAATTTCAAGATGCCTGTAGTGGGTTGAATGGTGTCCCCTGAAAGGACGTGTCCACATGCAAATCCCTGGGACCTGTGAATGTGACCCGATTTGGAAAAAGTGTCTTTGCAGATGTAATTAGATTAAGGAGTATCATCCTACCTAGATTACCCAGATTAGGGTGGGTCCTAAATTCAATGACATGTCCTCATATGTCACACAGAGCAGAAGGGGATATGAGGATGGAGGCAGAGATTGCAGCGATGTGGCCGCAAGCCAAGGAAACCAAGGAGTGCCGCCAGAAGTGGGAAGAGGCATGGAAGGACTCTTCGCTGGAGCATCCAGAGGGAGTGTGGCCCTATTGCCACCTTGCTTTTGGCCTTTTAGCCTTCAGAACTGTGTGAGAATACATTTCTGTTGCTTTAAGCCATGCAGTTTGCAGTACTTTGTTGTGGCAGCCTAGGAAACATTGCTAATCACGCACCCCAAGGGGTATGATTCACGTCTCTCATGCAGCAGGGCACGGACAACATCCCTTCCTTCTCACGGCTGCTGTCCTCAAACAGGCGCTGGGCACGCACAGGCTGTTGGTCGAGTTTGAAGGATTAAACCCACCACGGTCCCGCCCTTTCCCTGAGATGCTACTTCTGGTTTCCCTGGAGAACCGAGGTGCTGCCACTGAGGTGCAGGTGCTCCCGGTGGCTTCCACAGCGGGGTGGGGAGGGTGGAGATGGTGCTGAGGGGAGAGTGGACCAGCTGTCAAGAGGGCAGCTGGCACCCGATGCCTGCCGCTGGGGTCAGGGTGGCCTGAGGCCAGGTCCTGCCTCTGCCACTGTCCAGCTGTGTGTGTCTGGTGGAGACCAGGCAATGGTCACCACACTGGTTTCTCTTCCCAGACCCACAGGAGACAACCTTTCCCAGCCCGTCGTGCATTTAGGTGAGGGCTGTGGGTTTGGGCCAGTGCGGTGGGGGCGGAAATGGCATCTACAACTTCCAGGCTGACTCCACTGCACAGTCCTGCGTCCTCTCTTCCCTCCACGCCAGCTCTGAAGTCGTGCATTTCAATGACAGGGACACAATGAGGCAGGAGCCTGGAGCCAGAGCCACTGCCCTCTTGATACCAGCCTGGGACAGGAAGCAGAAACAGAACTTCCCTGTATAAGCGACTGGGATTTCGGGCTTATTTGTTACTGCAACATAACCCAGGCGATCCTCACCAGGCTACACTGAGCTTGGCAACATTCTTTTAAATCTCTCTGGGCCTCTATTTCTTCATTTGTGAAATGTTACTGTAACAGCCGTTGTCATAGTCGAGGCCATTGTCACTGTAGTACTGGAAACCCGCTCATCTGGGTGGATCAGAAAGGGAGTTCATTGGAAAGCTTCAAGGGGATCTCATGAAATCCAGTTCCCCTCGCTCTCCTCGCCCCGAGGACGCATCTCGCCAGCTCTGCAGCAGCACGCAGTTCATGCGTGTCTCTGTCTCACGCCAAGTGCCCAGGAGAAAAAATCTGATTGGCTCAGCTTGTGCCAAGTGTCCATCCCTGGTCCGATCAGCTGCAGCCAAAGACCAGGGTCATCTAGGACAAACGTGACCTCAAGTTTTTCTCTTACAGGCAGGGGGCATTTTCTCCAAGAGGGGGATCGGGGCTCAGCAGATGCCCCAGCGACGTCCGCCCTGCTGAGAGCAGGAATGCTGAGGCTCCACGAGAAAGTGTGCGGGGATTCCATGCCAGGGTGGATGTGAAGCGTCTTAGTGGAGTTTTGCTAACAACCTAGTGCTCCCTCAGCTAGTGCTCTAGCGTCACCTTCCAGATCCTGGTCTTTGGGTGGAGGCCCTGCCCTGCATCCTGCTCTAAGAGCACCGTAAGTCTTCACAGGGTCTGCTCGTCCTTGTTATTTAGTCTCAGGCCTGTGAGGATGCTTCTCCAAGCAAAGCAAGGCCATAAATAGCTTTGTGGTCAGCAATGTGTTAGCGGAGCTGAAATCACCACAAGGCGGATGTTGTTCTCTCTTCCTCTGGGCTGTCACCACAGCCACTCTCTAAGTCCCCACCCTGTTGTGTGTCCTGAAAGAACTTTGGCATTTGCTGAAAGGTCACCAGCTGCAATTTTAGTTCATGTGGGTAACTTGAACTTCCAACATTTACATGTAGCTGCAAAGGGGTTCAGCGGCTGTGCCGGTGTCAGCCTGTGCTGGATGGGGGCAGAAATAGGTAGCTTTCCCGCGGACCCCTGTATGGGACAGAGCCAACTGCTAATAAATGGCACTGGCCAGCTGATCCCCAAATCATCCTTCTGCTCTTTCCTGACACCCACAGAGCGTTCGGCACCCGGTGCCTCTCCCAAGATCTGTGCCAAGGCACTGGTTTGTTTGTGTCACTTCCAATGTGTTGTGAACAGATATGCCTACAAAACACAATCAAAAGAACTTTGAGAATGGCCAAGAAAAACATGAAAAAGATGCTCAGTATCACTAATCATTAGGGAAATGCAACTGTAAGGCTCAGTGAGATAACATTTATATCCATTAGGATGGCTATTATTAAAAAAAAGAAGTAGCAAGTGTTGGTGACAACGTAGAGCCATTGGAACCCTTGCTCATTGCTGGTGGGAATGTTAAATGGTGCAGCCTCTTTGGAAATGGTATAGCAGCTCCTTAAGAAATTAAACATATGAAAGTGCACATCCAGAGAAATTGGTAAAATTACACTGGTGTTTGGCACTGTGCTGGGTTCCAGACTGGGGTATCCACTATGGATATCCACCCAGTGATACTTGCTCACAGAAATGAAAAGCATCCTTTCCAGACTTGTTTGAAAGAGCCCTGGCTACAGAGGTCCCAGCATTGCCATTATTTGACTACGTGACCTATGCCCCAGATAAGACACCTGCCAGTCTGCCAGCGGCAGCCATGGGACAGCCAGGTTCTGTGAAGAATCCTTCTGAGCTGTGGAATGAAAGGGTTTTACGGATCATTTTTTATCAGCTACATTTCTCACTCCCCGCCTGTTCCTAAATGGCTGCCTCTTAGGCTCTCGCGGGAGGGGAGCTCCTCAGGAGAAAACGGGTCTGTGTTTCCGGGCAGCCCGTTCTGGTTGCAGATGGCTGCGGGGCTCTGGCAGCTGCCGGTCAGTGAGATCAGAGAGCTCTCCTTGAGGGCTTGTCCAGTTCCCTCAGCCACGTGGGTTGGGCCCCTTTTCCTGTAAGGTCCTGGCACGGCCAGCACAGTTTTCTTATCAGCTTCCACACTGCGGAGCCGCAGCCCTTGGAGGTAAACAAGGATTTCTGCAGGGAGAAAAGAAGGATTTGAAGTGTTACCGGCCACAATGACGGACAGAAGCCCCTTTGAAACAGACATGCTCACCCTGACCCGCTACGTTATGGAAAAGGGGCGTCAGGCCAAAGGGACGGGGGAGCTCACCCAGCTGCTGAACTCCATGCTGACGGCCATCAAAGCCATCTCCTCGGCCGTGCGCAAGGCCGGCCTGGCCCACCTGTGAGTCCTGGGGAGCAGGTGCGGGCAGGTGCACAGAGCGCCCTTGGCCCAGGCGGGGGTGCAGAAACTGTAGGTGCTTGGGCAGGAAACAGGCTCCAAAGATGATTGGCCTTATGTGCCCCAGAAGGAAGTTGCATTTCAAGTTTCTATCTTTGCTTTGATGAAGGGGCCTTTGACTTGTTTCAAAAAGGAACAAAATACTTCAAGGCATGTATTGTAGAAATACATACATGTAATTTTTCCAGTTACTATATTATAATGGTAACAAGTACATTGGCTTGTTGCATTAAAACATGTATTGGATTATCATGATTTGTATTTGCATAGAGGGATTTCCACTGGTACAAAGAAGCAGAGGGGAGACTTGAAACACCCATTTATGTCCTTGGCAGATATGAGCCTTTTATTGCCGTGACCTTTGCACTACGTTGGGAGCTGGAAATCGTTCACGAAACGGAACACTTTCCAGGCCCCGTCCCACAGCCCCTCCCTCACAATCCAGGGGAGTGTTTTGCTGGCTGCCTTTAGAGTTTCTTCCCTATGACTCTTATCTTCGTCTCCACGCGGTGTGCAGGGAGCTGGGAGGCGCTGGGCCTGGGAGGGGCGTGCACAGGGTTCTTCCACTTGGTTCTCTTGGGTGCTTTATCCACGCACAGAACGAGGTCAAATTCATGCTACAGCTGCTGATGGCCACAGCCAAATTTCCGTTTTAAATCTGTGATAAAAAGAAACTACTTCTTTGGGCTTCCATTTTCCTTGTAGTAATTCCAGTGGAGGTTGGAGTGGAAGAGACCCATATTTTGGGGGGAAGGGGTGGACCCAAAATGAAAAGTCAACAAAGTTTAATAATTTAAAATATGTATTCTGGACAATTTAGTGTTTTTAACACAGAAAAGTGATGGCATTACATCGCGAGGTGTACTTATCCTCACAGACTTCATGTATAGAAGGTTCGGTGACCCAGGCGCGGGACCGAGTTAGAGACGCATGGCGCTCGGCTTTCTGTCCCGTCTGTGGATGCTGTGGCTGGGTCGCTGCCTCACCTGGCAGCAAGGGCTCTCCTGC